CGGTCTCAAAACAGCAATATTATCGTTTATCGCAATAAGTTCTGGGACAATTTATTGCCCTCTTTTCATTTCATTAGAAAAAACATGGCATGCCGTTTTCCTCCAGCTGTCTCCTCTTTTTGTGGTTTGGGCCAGTGGCAACGTCCGGTTGTTGATCATGTGACTTGTTTGATCCAAAATAATGTTTCCATTGCAGCTCAGTGAAATAAACCAATTTTGATGTGGTCAAAAAGAAACCACTTCATCCGAGCTCCAGAGTTTTTTAATCAAAACAAGTTTTTTTGTAAACTGAAATGTTTCCATTCTCGAAACACTAAATTGCGCAATTATATGTTCACTGGAAACGCAGCTGCTGTTTCACGTCATTTAGCATCTTGCCATCACTTCTGAATTCAAGTCCTGTGATGTTTTTGGGGTATTTGACGCGCCGACCCTCAGCATGATACACTACAGATCAGTGGGGCGACATTCACAGCGTTCCTCTCCGTTATCATCGGGTCTGTTAATTTCAGTATCATCCTGAGCGTTTCTTCACGTTAAAAGCGGATCTACTGACCAGTGAGGGATTTGCTGCAAGTTTCACTTTCGCTTTGTTCTGCAGCTGCCCCTGTGTAACTCGGCATATGGTTGTGTAACGTAACCAACATCTGGATCTCAGTGATCAGTTTCCAGCTTTATTTTTTTAATAGCTTCATGGATGCCAAATGCGTGTCGTCATCGGGTTGAATTAGCCGCATTCTACAAAAACATCTAAGACCAGAGGCAGGGATTTTTTTAATTATTTTTTTTTAAGTTGTGGTCAATGCCCTCAGCTCCAATTCATCAGAAACTTCAGTTTTTCATTCATACTTGTAGGATAAAAATACCTCATTAAATTCTCTATAAGCTGCACAAGTCTTTACTGAAACATCCCCGTGGGTTGGTTTATTTTGGAAAAATAAAAGAAAAGGACACACAAAATACGGGCCACGCAATTGCCTGGCGTTACGCACAGCCCAGCCGGTAAATTGCGCTTGTAAATATTTATGTCGTTTTTATCTTTTGTTTATGTTCTTCTGCTGCCGGCTTGTGAAACGCTCCTTTCCCCATTGTGTACGGTTTGTTGGGAGAGTGTACACTGAACACATGGCCGAGCTCCACCCCGACTCCGCTCGACCAACGGGCTGGTGACGGGACTTTGCTATGCTTCCAGTTATTTTCGTACGCCCGTCTCAGGTCATCAGGTTGCCTTGTTGCTGTGTTCACTTGTGACTTTGATGAGGAGACAAATGGTGTCAAATTGTTAGCAAACATGAGGTTTGCACAGTGAAGCTGGGAGACTGAACGGTGAGCCTCCGCTGCATGCGAGAGTGAGATGTCCTTCAGACGCCGCTCACTGGAAGACGCAGATTTTATTATGTAATGTTACATTTGGGTCCTCGATGCGGCACTCTAGTCGCTTTGATTCTGTAATTATGTACTTTGCATCAAACGTTTGAGCTGTAGCGACATTTCAGCCCACATGGACCCGTTTGACCTACTGATCGAACTCTGCAGGCGGAGGAAGGAGATGCAGGATTGTTGTTTTTTTAATGTCTTCAAACGCCATGGAAACGAAAGGGTGACACGCAACAGAGTCACAGGACTACGACACCGGCGGTCCAACCGTCAGGTATCAGTCGGCTAATTAGCTGTAGCAGCTAGCCTGCAGTCGGCGGCTGAACGGATACACCACAGCTCACAGCTTGTCAAATTAGAAAATATTTTAAAAAAAGCCAACAGGTCATTTAGAAACTAAACAAAAGACACTCGACATTGTCAATAACAGTGTCCTTAAGCGTGACCTTAATACGGCACCAGACATATTCCCAAATTTGTCTAAGTGAGATAAAACTTTGATTTCTGTAACCAGGCTGACCGGCAGTGTGCAGCAACTGGTGAGTGAACGGCAATTAAAATGTCTTCACTCAACAGTTAGCACCACTGTGAATAAAATATAAAATCCAAAGCACAAAAATGAAGTGCAGTACAAACAAACAGACAATTTAAATATTATTGAAAGAATAATTTTTTGAGAAACAAGTCACTACGAGTTAATTTTATGTCCTTCCTAACTAATCAATCGTATTTTAAAGAAAATAGTTTCAGCTCAGTTCTAGTCTAAAGCTTGAGGTTCAAATATTTTCAGTGTTTTTGTTGTTTGTCAAAGCACACATTTCCATTTCAAGCCAAATGCAGCGAGAGAATTGTAGCGTTATTATTATTATTATTATTATTATTATCATTATTAGAGCCGATTTTATATACCTGCCTCTTTAGCAAAAGTGCAACAAGCAGGAGACCCTACTCTGTCTCATCTTTGAGCGGCAAATCAAGTTTCCCTCCTCTGTCTCTGGCGTTTCTGGCAACAGAGACGCCGTCAGAGGCGCTCTCCTTTGGAGCGGAAAACAGAAACCGAGCCTTGTGATGATGGGAAGAAGCCGAGATGAGGCAAGAAAAAGAAAGGGAGAGTAAAAATGGGAACTGATACAGGTCAATCCTGCTGACCAAGGACATTAAAAATCAAAGTAATCGTTTGCTGAGCGTTACACTACGGTTTATTTAAAAAAAAAAAAAAAAAAAGCGCTTTTGCATTTTGATTTCCTTGAAAAGAGATGGAAACTTAAGGTGATGCAAGCGTCATAAAGGAGCAACAAAGTGTGTATTTAAAGCAGGGGTTGTACATTCTCACTATATGACCTACGCTGGGGAACAAAAAACTGCAACAAATGAGCCATAAATTGTTTTACAACACAAGCAATAGACGGTTCCACTGGTATTTAATCTGCGCCGTGTACGTTGTTACATATCATAAAACTGTGAAACACACTGCACTGCAAAGATTGGGAAACCCTGAGCAACTTCTTCAAAATCATAGCGGGTAAAAAATGATCTTCATTAGGGAAATTAAACAACCAAAGTCTCTGAATAATCACACAGAAAGTTAAAGGAGGAGAGACAACATCAGTTCAGGAGAGCATTGTTGTTGGTTTGAGGTAATGTGGCGAGCCTGATGACGGTTTTTGTCCTGCACAGGGATATGAAATCACCATGGATACCTTTTGCATTTTTTAAGAATCATAAGAAGTTACGCGCTTTTGAAAGTTTTGAATTATGTTTTCTTTTTTTCCCCTTCAGTCCTGGGTTTTTAGTAAAGTGGTCAGTGGAAAATAACCAAACCCTGCTGCTAGGTATGAAGGAGGATGCATGATGCTGTGGGCTCCATTCTCTTCCAAAGGTTCTGGAAACCCTCATCGTCGCCTCTTTACAATACCAGGACACCACTAATAATCTGTGTACGGATATTGCCAAATAAACGCGGAACTTACTCAACAAACAACCAAAATAAGTAGTTCAAACACACCAATCTTCTGTTCGACGGGACGCTTTTGAGAGATGAACTGCATGTCACACCACTTTTTCACAAACGAAGACAATTGAAGATACAAATTGTTTGTGTTTCTGGGTGGGGAAAGACTTTAAAAAGATGCAAATGTTCATGTTTATTACTACGGATGTCAAAAATGCAGCAGCCAAATTGGATTTAGAGCTCAGGGATGCTGACTTAATGGTGGCCTCACGTTTTTTAATTTATCTATATAAACAATAATGTTTAGTTTTTATTCTTTTTCTTTGACAAAACTAATGGAAAGGTAAAAAAAATGGTATAGATAGATAGATAGATAGATAGATAGATAGATAGATAGATAGATAGATAGATGTCAAAGTTAACTAAATGATGATGTTCATTCATATCCAAGGTTACTCTACTCTAGCCCAACACTACTCAACTCAACTCTATGAGGGAATGTGTGTGGAAAAATATGGTTTAGTGGATCTTACACACTGAAGTTTTGTCAGACTGATACCTTTTTTAGAGCTTGCACGAAGAGGCCTCTCCACTTGTGACTGTTCTCTTCACTCGAAAAGTCGTACATCTGCTGGGGCTGCATCGCTGTAGCGGCTCCTGGCGTTGCCGTGATCCGGGCTGAACTGTCAGCATCGGCCCCGAATAGATAGTCCTGATGGGTGGGTCAGTCCGGAGCAGGCACGGGGGTTGGTGGGGAAATGGGAGTGGGGGGGGGGAAGAAAAAGTCACCGTTTTGTGTAAAAATATGCAGAATAAAGCTTAGCCACCACACTGCGAGTCCCACGTCGAGTCCGGGTTGACAACGAAAAACTCGCGACCAAAAAAGCACATGTAGCCGTGAAGTTAACTCGCTAGCTCGGTGGCTAATAATAGCTGTAAACACAGAGCTCGGCTAACTGAAGAGCTAACAGCTAATAACAATGTTGCTGAGTGTTGTGCCAATTAGTTTGGTTACAGAAATGTATAGCAGGCACGTTTAACTCAAAATTACGACAAAAAGCAGGCGCCCCGTTTGTTACCTGCTACGAGTTGCGTTCGAATATCTGCTACCTAAACACCTGTAACCTTTGTAAGCTAACCAGCTAGCTGGTGCTACAGGCAGCTGCTGGCCTCGATGCGCTTCCACTCCTATGTTGTGGCACACAACCCCTTCAGCTCCAAACAAGGCACACTTTTTTCTTCGCGGCTCATTTCACAATTAGTCATCTTTTCCGCAACTACCAGATGTTATATCCAGCGTATATTCCTTTAAAGAAACATTGGGAAGTCCAAGGCATTTTGGTGGGTGAAGAGCAGCTATAAAAAGAAGTCGAAGGTTTTTTTTTTTTTTTGGTTAGAGAAGTCGGAATCGCTCGCAACAACTCCGCTACTGCCGCTGCTTGTTTGCTGCTGCAGCTGCGCGACCTATCCGTCCTGCAGACACGAACGCTGCGTAATTTCACATGTAACCGGATATAAACACTTGGATATGAATCACATATCCACACAAAAACGGATACAAAAACTACAACATATAATAAAAACACGGTTTTTTTTCTTTGTTTTTGTTTTAAGTTGGGCCAAAACATGGCCAAATATATATATACCCAGTAAACGAGAAACGGAATTTTTAAAAAATAAAATTTATTTGGAAACCATGACGCAAAGTTTCTTAGTAAAAACTGCTTGCACAAAGATGAGATAATTTAAACACATTTTCTAAGGTTCACTGGAGGAGTTTATTGTCATTGCGCCCTCTTGTGGAGCAACTGTGTTTCTACATCGCTCAAGAAAAGGTGGAATGAATGGACAATTTTTATTAAAGTATTTTAAAGCATCGACCCAGACGTTTTCGTAAAATCAAACAGTTACATATAACCCTCAATCCATAGAACAATATCCCCTTATCATTATTTAGCTTTTTTATTGTAAAATTATTTATTTAACCATAGTAAAATCTGCCTTAGGAAACAACCACACGCCTTCTGGTGACACCACACAAAGTAACCAATCTGTTGGGTTGGTTCATTTGTATTTTTTTCCTCCATTAATCAGGTTCATTCTGACATTTCTAAATCAAATTCCACTTTCAAAAGCAATTCACTTGTGTTCTTCATGACTGGAGCAAAACCGTTGTGTGAGAAGACTCTGCATGAACTTCAGGAAAACATGGCAACAATTAAACAGATGGAAGAGGTTTATGAATACGACCAGGACAGACTGGAAGAATGGCCAGGTTAATTATCAAAAATCTTCTGTGATCGCCACAATAAAACCCATAAGGTCAGGTAGAAGGTTTAAATCGGGGTGGTTTAGAAGTTCCCATGTCGTGTCCTGCGTCACCTGAGGCTTCCTCTGACTTTTAATGACTCCCGAAAAGTTAACTCCACCATCTAGGCCTATGGGATGATCACTGTCATCATTCCAGTCAATACCAGAAACAGAGAGCAAGAAAAAAAAAAAAAAAACTTACTAGTTAGAAACAGAGTTGAGCTAAAGTAGTGAGTTCAGACTAAAAATAAAAAGGCAATACAAGCAGAATACTGCGCTTATTTTAAAAATGGGGGCATTTGTACATTAACAAACCAAACAGAAAGAAAAACAACGTCAAACTAAATCCTCTGCCAAAATGCTAACCAATGCTAACTGATTAGCTAGATTATTTTGTATATTTTCCCCAATGACTTTGTCATTACCACGTCAACGATGCCGCACTTTAAAAAGGTGCAAATATTCCTGCACATTCAGTCCAAATATATATTTTCTGTAAAAAATACTCATGTATTCAATTGTTAGTATGTAAAAATAAAATAACAGTCAGAGATTTGTGTATATTAGTTACAGCAGTCGGTGAACTCACTGAGGCGACTTAAAAAAAAAAAGAGGTCACAGTTTCAAAAGACAGGAAATGACTTCAAAGAGACATTTATAGATTTGGTATCAAGTAGAATCTAAAACCAACTTAAAACATTTTTGTGCATTTTTGAGCAGACAAATGTATTTCTGGACATGAATGATTTTTCAAACATGCACAATATCTTAAAAAAAAGAATCTCAGCACCACAAGTCAACTAGTAGAAACACTTAATTTATGTCCACATTCTGTTTAATACCTACAAGGTAAGAAGATCCTAAACAAATTCATTTATGTCTCCAGAAGGTTGTGCAGAGGGTAAAGATGAGTTTCTACACGGATGTGAAAGAGTAAACATGTTTGCAGCCCGTTTCAGCACTTCAGAGATAAAAGTCTTTAAAAAAAAGAGTCCAACTTAAGGCCTGGCGTTACCTCAAGAGGCTCAGAAAGTTTCAATTTGTGGCTGGATTTCTGCATTTCGTTTTTTTTTCCCTCCCAGTTTCATCACACCGATCGCCGTGAGCGTCTACAGCATGAAGCGACTCTCCACTTCATCCGAAATCATTTCGGCGATGGCGAGGGAGGAGGTAGCTGCCGGCGAGGGGGCGTTGCGCACGTGGAGCACCCGACTGCCCAAATCTCCGACGCCGCCGTCGAAGACGAAGTCATCCACAAGGTTCCCGTCCCGGTCGAGGGCCTGAGCTCGGACTCCCGTTGGACCTCTGGACAGGATCAGTGGGTTAGAAAAAAAATTAAATAAATACATTAAAAAAAACGTGGAAATACAACAAGCATTTAATGTAAAAATTTCCACTACCTGAGCACGTCGCTTAGAGAGAGTTCGGGGATATACTTCTGCAGAATCTTAATCTGCGCGCCAAGGAAAACTCCTCGGTACATTTCCCCGATCCCATAAGTTACATTCCTCAGCACGAGCTTCTGAAGGCCTCTGTACGCATAAAAACAAGCAGAAAAGAAAAATATCATCAGTAGCTGCTGCAATCCTCCAAGAAAAGCGCCACAGATTACCTGAAGGAGAGTGCGTCTGCAAAGTCACGGGCGTTGAAGTCGTACAGGTGGTAGCCCTCCCTTTTAAATGCTAGCACCGCGTTGGGGCCGAGCCAGACGCCGCCGTCCATCCGCGGCGTGAAGTGAACTCCGAGGAACGGGAAACGAGGGTCAGGAACCTGAACGGTCAACATAAAACATCCCTGAGCCTGAAAAAGTGAACATTGAAAGTGGAACAGCTTTGTGAACTATTTGATCTGTTTTTTTTAATATATATATATATATATATATATATATATACACTTTTTTTTTGCCTAATCACCCTTATGATGCTTGAATTAAGGTCATATATGGTCATTAAAAGGCTACTGAAGCTCACTTACTGCAATTTGAAAAGTTAAAGATTTCCCCCATACTAAACCTTGTTTTTTTTTTATCTAAGTGTATTGTAAATACGTTTTTTCAACTTTTAAATAAGCTCCACTTTTAAGCAGGGATTATTTCAATATTTTACTGTTATTAATATTTTTACTGCTTGGGATTTTTCTTAAAAAGAGGAATCTAAAGTTTCCCCCAAAGTATCTAAAAACAGGACTTGGATGCTGCAGTTCTCTCATTTATAAACATACTAGTACATCTAAAATAAATAAATAAATAAATAAATAAAAAATAAATAAAAAAAGAGAGAATATTGTGTAAAAGTGGATTAAACAATATTGCACTTTGACACAATCAAAAAAGAGATTCTGCGTTACCCAGAAAGAGAAACTCATTAGAAACATTAGAATCGCCTAAGCCTTTGTTTCTTGTAATTTTGATGATAATGGCTTGCAGACATTGAAACCCCAAAATTCAGAGTCTCAGAAAATGAGAATACTGTGATAAAGCTCATTAGTGCACAGAGTTTTGTATCCAAGCACATCAATGGAAAATTGAGAGGAAGGAAAAAGTGTGGTAAAAGAAGGCAGCACCAGGGAGAACTTCAGCCTTGAGAGGATTGTCAAGCGAAATCCATTCCAGGCACACAGAACGAACAGCAGACAAGACGAATGTTACGTTTGAATGTGACCACTGAATGTGACACGGTTTGAATATATATATATTCTTTTTAAAACAAATACCAATCTCTCCTGCTGCATTGTTTTATATTAATAGAAAATATGACTTGTGAGTAGAGTATTTGAAAATAGGAGATAAAAAAAAAAAACCGGTGAGGATTTTATTTCACCCTAGACCGTGGTTGCGGCAGTAACAACAACCCCGGCCGCAGAACAGCTCCCTGGGTTCTGGGGAAGGTTTCCTGTGAAAACACAGCGACTGCGTCCAGACCTTCAGCAGACTCACAGGGTAGATGTTTCCTCTGACCAGGTAGTGCTTCTCTGGTTTCAGCACCAGGTAGTCTCCTCTGAAGGGGACGATCCTCGGTTCCGGGCTGCAGCCAGAAATCTGCGACAGCCGGTCCGAGTAGAGGCCTCCGCAGGTCAGGACGTAACGGCACCGCACTTCGTCGCCCTGTTCACAAAGGATGCGGTTAAAAAAAAAACAAAACAAAAAAAAAACTAAGGAACAGCAGAACGAAGTTAAAATGTTTGGAAGTTTTTCTGTAGCTCGAATAGGTCCTACCTTTTTATCTCTTATTGCAATGGGATGTTTCAGTCCTGAAAATTAAACGGCAAGAGAGAAAAGGATGAAAATGCAAACATTGTGTTTTTTTAAAAGACTTTTTTTTTGTGCTCCTTACCGTCGGGGCTCCCTGCTGGACTCTCTTTCACCACGGACATGTCACTGACCTCAAACTCGGTAAGCACGGTGCCGCCTGCCTCCTCAAAGTCTCTGCCGTACCTGAGGGCCACCATCCGCCAGTCAACGATGCCGGTGTAGGGTGAATCCAAGGCCATTATCCCCTGAAGAAGTGGCATTATGAAGTTAGCCTCTTCCTTTATGCATTTTCCAAAATTTAAAGGTGACCTACTTCTTCCTTGAACAGGTTAGGATATGTCTATGGCTGATATGAATTCACTACATCTCGGGGAGGGTTTCCGCACAAAATCCCTCTGAGATAATAAGATCTTAGTCAGGTCAGTTCTTTCGGAGTTAGCTTCTTTTAGCTTAGCTTCCTGTCACTTTAAATCCAAATAAGCTGCTGCTCAATGTTTACACTCACAAGTGAAAATGGCTGCAGACAGATGTGCGATTATACAACCGCACATCTTTGAAAAGCAGAAGTGGAGCCTCCTACACAAGCTACAAGAACGCTGCAAGTGGTTTCTGGATGGTAAGTCAATGATGATAAGACACTTGTCTATTCCAGCAGCCGTTATACAGCGGTAAAACCAGCTGGAGCTCAGCGTGGGTTGCCAGGTAAGGGGCAGTGTCTGCTGATTTCTGACGATACATTCCAGAGGTTTTTGAAACGGCTCATTTTCCAGACACCAAAAAAGCCCATAAAGTTATCGCTAAAACATTGGGGTGTTTGTTTTTTTTGTTTGTTTTTTTAAGCACTTGTTCTGTTTTTAGAAGCAGTAGAAAGCCAAATGGAAATACAAAAACTGAAAAAAAATGTTGTTTGGCAAAAACATTATTTTTACCCGGCAGTACGGCTCTCGCTCTCGGATCCCCTTGGAGTCGACAATGCTGAGGTCGCGCACTTTGTTCTTCAAGCCGCGTTCGTAGAGAGCTTTCAGTCTGGGAATTTCTTCTTGTTCTACTGCCACAATTAGCTGTCGGTGGAAACGTTCTGTTAGTTAAACACTTAACAATTAAGCATCTTAGAGATCTACAGAAGGTTACTAACCGGCAGCATATCTAAAATTAGTTTTGGAATCTTGATGCCAATCAAAGGTGTTTTTTTATTGAGCAGGGAAACAAAAAGGAAAGAGTTCAGTGGTTTTTGAGAAGAAGAGTTGGGTGCACAAGTTTAGTGCACATCATCACAGGGTCAAAATTGCACATAAAGATTCAAATACATACATGTGCTTCAGCCCGTGTGTGTCATTGTGACCATGTGGAGACTGGGGATAAAACTCACAATAAATGGAATTGAAATTTGAGCATGCAAATCTTTTGATTTTTTTTCTTTAAATCCTAAAGTTGGATGATCTTCGCATCTACAAAAAAAAAGACCCCACGTGGTTAAAGATTCATCTAAAAAGACGTGCAGTCATGTTTCTGTTGTACATGTTTAGCTACGGACATCATCTAAAACAAGCAAACTATGACCCACCTTTCCACATCGTTTATAAGGAATCCCTTTCTTCTCACAGTACTGGTACGCTAACGTCGCTCCTCGTACACACAGCCGAGCCTTCAGCGAGCCCGGCGTGTAGTAGATCCCACTGTGGATCACGCCACTGTTGTGCCCACTCTGGTGCGCAGCTGGCAGGACGAGGAAATTGACAGATATTATTCATGGTGGCACAAACATTGATCGGTTTTATACATCTCCTGCGTTTCTTTGCCTCTGCCTTGCAAAATATATCATGACTTTGAAGAATAACCCAAGTGGTGAAACTGAAATCATTGCATATTTTCAATTTTTTTTATAATAATAATAATAATAATAATAAAAAACATTAAAACCTCAGCCTACCAAGTTCTTTCTCTTTCTCCAGCAGGACGAAGGTGAGCGCCGGATGTCTTTGAATTAGCTCTCTGGCTGAGGCCAGGCCCACGATGCCGCCACCGACAACGGCCACGTCGTATGTGCTGAAAGACACAGGCAGCTGTTCAAACTCTAACTGGACCTTCACTGGGTCACAGGAAGGGAAAAAAAAAAAAGAAAGAAAAGTGGAGCCTAATATTTGACTCGGTGTTTCAATGTCTAACTTAGCTTGGCTTTATGACCAAGAGACCTTTGAAGGGGTGAGGAAGGTCCGATAAGACGGAAGAGGCCCGACAAGAAAAACTTACTGCTGGCTGCCAAAAATCTGGATCACCATACGGCAGCAAAGCCACCCTGAACGTCTAGCCAGAGCCAATATGGTTTATTATTAATAATATGTTAGAATGGCCCAGTCAAAGCCCAGACCCAAATCAAATTGAGAATCATGGGAAGGATGCCAATTATGTCCACCATTCAATCAGAGAGCTTGGGCGATTTTGGAAGAGCCTGTGAAAGATTTTTCACAATGGCAGACAAATTTCACAATAGTGAACTACTTTGTGTTTGTCTCCATAAAACCCCGTTAAAATACGTCAAAGATTGTAGCTTAAACATGGAAGAAGTTCAACATTTTTTTGCAGGACTCTTTAAAAAACGCCATAGCCAGGTGAATGCACTTAAAAAAAAGACAGCATGATCATTCATTAACTCTTTAAAACAACAAGCTAAACAGTGACAATATTTCAAGTAAATTGTGCAAGATTTGTGTATCTGACACTCTTTTAAAGAAACTACAGAAACAGTCTGAGCTCTTCGAAGGTTGTTTGGTTTTAGGAACCCGAATGTTATCTGTGATGTAATCTGACATCTAGGTGGTATCCCTTAAGGAAGTTGATTTATGATTTGCTATTAGATATTATGTTTACATAAACGTCATAATAGTTAATGAAAGTTTCATTACAGCATTTCAGCAATATCTAGACTTTTTGTTGGAAGGAGGATTATAGTTTGTACATAGCTTTATATGCATATAAATAAAAGTTAAAAGAGACAGACTATAATGGACAGATCAAACATGCTCACAGGTTTTTAGTTTAAACATGCGTGCACAAAACTTTACACAGAAATCAGAAACCTAAAAGTCTCAGAAATCTTTAAGTACTATTCATGAAATGCTACACGTTCGGCCTCATTTGCATTTTCTTTTAATATTCTCATGAAAAACGAGCCTTCTCTTCTGAACACCACTCCTCTCTGTCAGTCTTACCTGTGGAGCTGTCTGCTTGCAATGCCCTTTAGCAGCTTCGGCTGCGCTGCACAAACTGCATTTAAAAACGCGCCGCTCCGTGATCTCATCATTGTTGGTACTTTGAAAGGAAGCTCACAGTTTGTCCTTCATGGTGCGGCGGCCAGACAGACTTTCTGAAATCTGTGTCTCTGTGTTGTCCTTTTGTTTTTGCAGCTAGCCATTTATGTCGCTGCTGTGTGTCCCGTGAGGCAACCCCAAGACGTAGCCACGCCTCCGGCGGAGTTCGTCCGCAGACTACTGACGTAGATACGTTTAGCCAATAGCAGGGCACGTTTTTTGTTACGGCTTGAGGTCAAGAGTTACAGAAATGGAGGCGTTCGAAACGTAAACAGTAGTTTGCGCTTTTGGAGGACAGGCGAGAGACAATTGAAACGGAGTTATAGTTTCTCCTCCTCGTTCCGCTGTTATTTTAACCCAACCGGAGAGCTAATAATTGTTTAACTTTGTGTTTAACTTGCAGCTCACAGTTATGGGGCTGTTGTCGCGGACAGTGGAGTCTGTGTTAAAGCAGAGGGAGGGGAGCCGCAGACACTTCTGGGGTTGGCTCAATGCTGTTTTTAACAGGTGACAGAGTTATAATACAAAGAAAGATAGTAGGCAAATATGCTGTTAGCCCAATGCAATGCAAAAACATTCAAAGGTTATTTTTACCTAAAATATTCGCATGTGCCACTCTTTTTTTTTAACAGTGGACTTTGGTGATTTTTATTATTATTTTACTTCCCTTACTGTTTGTGTGGTGGCAAGATGAGTCAAACTGGATCTGTGTCACATTGTATTTAAACCCTAGAGAAACAATAATTACTGATTAAATATAGGAACTCAGGTTAAATTAGAAAAAAAAATATGGCTAGCCTTAGAATAATAGTGCCAAAATGTATTTTTTGCTAATAAATAAATATCTTTTTAAAAATATATTCTTAAAATTATTCCCATTAAAATTTGGATTTTCAAAACCTTTAATTGTGAGATAATAGCACAGTGATGACAAAAACAATTTTAAGGATTTTTAAACATCTTAACCATGGTTGCAAATTAATTTGTAGACCTCTAAAAGTATTCAGCCTTTCTGTACAGAATGTACTTATCCAATAAAGCAGCTAGAGCTATTACAATATTACAACTGATATGCATACTGATAATATGGTGAATAAGTCTAGAACTGACTTTTTTTTATTTTATTGCTACCATCTAAAGTGGTTTAGTCTTCTTTAGTGTTTCTGATGTCATTTTTGTCTTGGACACTGGCTGCATTTTTAATTTAATCTTGAATCCAAAATAATTTTATAAATCAAATTAGCTCTCTTTTCTTTTTAAAGGGACTATTCTTGTCGGCTTCCCAAAACATGTCTGATTTAATGCGATCCGAATGCCTCACTTTTATTTATTCCTGTTCAGGGTGGACCATGAGCGGATCAAAGCGATCGGTCCGGACCGAGCTGCAGCCGAGTGGCTGCTGAGGTGCGGTGCCAAAGTGCGGTTCGAAGGTTTCGAGCGCTGGCACCACGACTACAACGGACTCCCAACGGGGCCCCTCGGCAGATACAAGATCCAGGCGATCGACGCTACGGAATCCTGCATCATGTACAAAGGGTTCGACTACCTGGGTCGGTCCGGAGAGCGTTCCGCTCCGTCTCCTTTCAACTCATCCGTTACTCAGTTTCCATCAGAAGCTTTTTTTGCTCTGCACACGTTGTACAACAGAAAGGCAACACTGTCTTTTCTTTTTGCTCAGATGGCTTGAAATATGTGGAGGAAATGAAATTCAACAAGTGTATCTACATCGAGGACGTCTGCCTGGAACGGCTGAGTTCGATCGAGAACCTGCAGGCCAGCCTCTACATGATGGAGGTGGTGTCCTGTGGAAACGTGACCGACAAGGGCCTTGTCGCTCTCCACCAACTCAAGTCAGTAGTGGCTTATGAGGCAATTTTTAAAACCTCTTACAAAGATGTTTTTTTTATTATTATTTATTAAATTGCTCAATAAAAGCAGTAACACAGAGAAGTGATTAACAACCTCTTGCTTCCCTTCAGGAACTTGGAGTATCTGTTTCTGAGTGATCTTCCAGGAGTGAAACACAGGCGCGCCACAGTCGAGAGGCTCCAGAAGGCGCTTCCACGTCTGGACGTGGAGCTGGACCTGGACTGAGTCCAGAGCGGCTCAGGCACTCCTCAACCATTACTCCCAAGTTTATTTAATCAGTTAATCAGTTTGTGCTTGTGAAAACATTTAGGACTTTTGTCATTTTTAATATCTTATTTAGAATACTTTGGCATTTTGTTGATACAGACGATGAGAATGAGAACTAATGAATGCTTGTAACAGGAACGGATGCAGCTGTGTGTCAATAAATATCGTTTGTAGAACTGATTAAAGTTTTTTTTTCTCTTCATCATAACTTACTAAAAAAAAATCTTGCTACCAAAAATTCACTTTAAGACAGTCCATTATTTAAAAAAAAAAAAACATTTTGGCAAACTGGGCAAGGCAGTAGAGTGGAGATTAACCCTCAGTCAACTAACAACGAGCAGAGCAGCGCGGCGCTCCTCTTTGTCTAAAAATATCAGCTTAAAAGTCTGGCAAAGCGCACATGAGCCAACACATCCGACTTAACGCGCTGGGAATAGTGCATAGAATCAGTAAGAGACAGCCGGCACGCCCTGTGAGGAGCAAATACGGTTAAAAAGTTGCTGAATCAGTTTTTTTTTTTTTTTTTTTTTTTGGAAGGAAACTACAGTCTTTAAGTCTCTGTTCATTTCCTGAGCGGTTCAGAAAACGCAGGCATTCAGCTTCACTTCGGATCGGGATCGTCGTGTTTAGATGTTTGGGAGGTGGTAGTTGAACTTGCGCAGGTTGTTGTAGTATTTCTTATTGTCCAGAGCGGGAAAGATGCTGCTGCTGGTCAGCTGTGGCAAATACTGGAAAGAAATGAATCAGAAGTAATTAACAATTAAAAAAAATATATATATATATATATATATATATATATATATATATTTTTTTTTTTTTTTTTTTTTTTTTTTTGTGTTTTTTATAAAAGTTTTCAACCCTTTCCATTTTTTGCCAAA